GCTCTTGTACCCCGTGACATCTTAACGTCCGCTTCATTTCCAGTCTTCGCCTGTACGACAGAGCCTCCGTCTGTGAATTGCCTGACCATTAGCTTAGCGGGACACGCTCTTCAACGAACCATGCCGGCGTTGAGACGAAGGGATTGGGAACACCTCGCAGTCGCAGTAATGGCTGTGGCGGGGAGGATGGCAGAAGATGCTTTTGACCTTGTGGACAGCATATGCGACAAGAGCACGCTGTGTCTACAAGCGTTGCTCAAGAGCGGCAACGATGGCCTCCTCTTGGGCGACGATGATGCAGATGACAGTAGCCGTGGGGGACGCTCGCTGCTTTGGCTATGGCCCACTATTGTTGATCTCTGCAAGCTGTTACCCCGTGCTTCGCCGAGGTGGTGGGTCATGCGCCGAACAGGTGGTCTGTGGAAGGATCTCCTTCCATGTGATGATGCGGAGGATGACCATTACTTGGGTCTCTTGCGCATGCGGCGGTCATCATTCGATCGTATTTTGCGAAAGGTGGGTCCCCTCTTGGAGAGGGAGGTGACAAAGTTCAGGGTCCCTTTGGATCCTGCGAAAAAACTGGCGTATGCGCTCCACAGGTGGGCGCACGGTGAATCGCATTGGCACACTTGTTCCGGGTACGGTATGGGCAAAACCAGTGGACTCCGAGCCATCAGAGAGGTGGCTGAGGCCATTATCGCGTGTTACCGGAACAAGGTCGGCTTCGGGGGTTTTGCGGAGCGTCATCGTAGAATGCAGTTGTTTGACGCGTTGGGCTTCCTGAACTGTTGGGGGTGCATAGACTGCACCCATGTTTATATGGACAAGCCGCGCACAAGGGACGGGGATGACTACTGTTCGGGAAGATTCAACAGGTTCTCCATTGTTACGCAGTTGGTGGTCGACTCCGAACTGAAGATCCTGGACTTCTGCTATGGATTCCCAGGGACTGTTGGTGATGGACGCGCGTTGAAGTCGACGTCACTCTATAAGCGCGGTCTGCAAGGTTCTCTATTCCTGGACGACCCCGCTGATCCGTTCGCTCCTGACAGACCGGCAATTGCCGGTGTCCCTGGCGGGTACTTGCTCGCCTATTGCGGGTATCCAAGTCTACCCTGGATTGTCACTCCTTACGGGCAGGCACCCAATGTCACGATGGCCATGCAACAGTTCGATGCACTCCACAAGATAGTGAGATCTTGCGTGGAGCGTTTTTTTGGAGTCTTCAAGATGCGGTTCCAGTTCTTCTATTGCCCACATGTGACCGATATAACGAGGGAGGGTTTGGAATTCGAAGCCTGTTGTATTCTCCACAATCTATTTCAGGAATGGGGAGACATGCCGCAAGAGGACTTGGAGTTGTCTAATGCGTCTTCCCCCGACACACCTCCTCCCCGTGGAGGACAAGGAAGTGTGGGATTACCGCTTGAATTCATGTTCGGTCGCGAACGCGGGCAGGCCATGAGAGATGCGTTGTGTGCAGAAGTTGTCCGCTTGTATGAGATTCGGAGGGAGCAGTGATATGGGCCTCACGAGTAGACCACTGTGGCACGGGTACTGATCTTCACTTTGGTGGTCATTCATGTACCGTTCTCGCCCGAACGGCTGCTCGCTTGCTGTCGGCTTCTTTCATCTTTGTTGTGGTGCAACAGATCGTTGGGTTCTGCTCGGTTCCTTACAAATGACCAATGGCGGGGAGGGACTTTGTGAGGGAGAGGCGTGAGGTGCTGAGCGAAATGGAGAAGATGGAGAGGGAGGTTGAACGAGTCCACAAGTACTTAGTGGAGAGGGGTGATAGCATCACAGTCACCATGCGTTGCGGCAGAACTGTTTCTGAAACTGAGATGTCGCTCGAGAACATCCATGCTCGGAGATGGGCAAGTTCCGTTATGAAGAGACTTCGTGCTTCAAGGGATAGTCTCCGACATTGCTGCGACGAACTTGTCATCCACAACCTCTAAATCCGACGAGACAACGAGCAATGGAGACGAATGTGGGACGAGAGCCGGGCGGAGGTATGCGACACTACCCGAGCCTTGCATGCAGCAGTTCGAGACAGGGACGAAGCTATGTCGAGGTGCGAGGCGGCCGAAGCAGATGTGCAAGTGGCACGTGAGCAGGCTGAAACCGCTTGGAGGTTCTACGACGACATTGTGCGTGGAGTGGTGGTGGGGACTGATGGTGACAACGATTTGTGTCATGAATTCGAAGCTCTTCGCGTCGGTGGAAACGGAAAAGTTGCGGCCAGCTCATCAACGACACAGGGTGGACATGGGGCCACGTGTTGCAATTGCGAGGATCTCATTCGGAGGATGAAAGAGATGGAGAAGGAGATCGCCCATCTTCAGATTACTAACGACCTTCTTAGCCTCCCTGCGTCTTTCTGGGACGAGTCGAATTGGCAGCCTGTTGATTTTTCCGTGGGGCGGTCGTCCGCCCCGCTGTCTGCCCCGCCGTCGGGGTGATGTTCTTGAGAGCGTGTTCCGTAGACGGAGGAGGTTAGAGAGAGAGAGAGAGAGAGAGAGAGAGAGAGAGAGAGAGAGAGAGAGAGAGAGAGAGAGAGAGAGAGAGAGAGAGAGAGAGA